GACGGAGCGTCAAATTACATTCGTTTTAAATCATCAATTTTTTAAACACAAATTTTTCGACAATTTTTCGCTCTCATTTTTTCTTCTCATTTGCCTTATCGTTCTTTCTTTCCTCTTTTCCTTTATTTACGTCTTTTTTTCTTTTTATGCTTTTTCTATTTTTTTTATTTTTTATCTTTTCGCTCATCTCTTCATCATTCGTCGAAGCGAAAGATTTTCAAAGTAAATAAAAAAAGGTAATGTGTTTATTCTGTTAGGAAGCGAGACCTTGAGCGGATAATTGTTTCGACTCAAATGACATTCATTGTTTGACATTACAGTGCTAAATTCGAAAATACTCGCTCTCTTCCAAATAATCGAACGAACAATCCCGACACTTGGGCGCGTTAGTGCGACACTAATTAATCCGAAAAAGATTATCGAGCTTAGTGCGCTCACGCACTCTAAAAGCGATTCAAAGGCTTAAGCCGCTCACACCGACGCTCAAATGCATTATTCTCAAGCCTCTGACTAACGCTTCTCGCAGTGTCCGTTCATTATCGTGAGAGAGTCAACGGTGTTATTTTGATAAAGCCGGGACGATATTTCGGTTACCTCCAATTAAGGATCTTATTCTGTAATACGATGCAGCCCGATTAAGAGCGAGATATGAATCCCAATTTTAACAGGCCCTTAATTAGCAAGAACGGTAGGGCCGACGTACGTAATGTAAGAGGCCCGATGTGCGCTTTCTAATTTCCTGCTTCTTCTGGTTTTCAATTAATAGTTTTTTTTTATTTATTTTTTTTTTAATCTTTTTTTTTTTTAGAAAATAATTTAAACGTTTAGAATATATTGTTTATATATATATATATATACACACACACACACACGCACGCACGCACGCATACACATATGCATGTACGCACGGGATATAGATTGGTTTTTTATTTATTACTTTTTTGCTTTCTTCTTCGCGAAAGCCACGATGATGAGGAGGATTCACCGAAATCTTGCTCGACGTTATTTATTCAACTTGTAGATCATTTTTATTTTGCTCTGTTCATTAATACAAATTCCTCTTAATGAGAAATATACAACGCATACACAGACAGAGAGAGAGAGAGAGAGAGAGAGAGAGAGTGAAATTTATAGTATGGAGATAAATTGGAAAAAGAGATACCCGTGTTTTGGCGAGCGTCGATTTTTACATCGTCACAAATATTATAGAGAAAGACACTCGTTATATTTTCTGCAAACAGTCCACCTTAATTGAAATTTCGCGCCATAACGTGATTATAGTAATTAAGATAATAATCGTACAATTGCTTTGTAGACACTGGCGCACGCGCTTTAGACCGTTGTAAAATCGAACTTTATTCATTTTAATATTTCATATTCGTCGTCCTATAGATCCAAGCCGTGCGGATACATTCACGTATATCCATTTATACACAAACGATCACACAAGATTGCTTCTTTATTTATTTTAATTTTTTTTTGTATTTTTTTAAGTGTTTTTAGTTCGTTTTTTTTTTATGTTTGTTTGATTGTTTGTTTGTATGTTTGTTGGTTGGTTGGTTGGTTGGTTGGTTGGTTGGTTGGTTGATTGGTTGGTTGGATGTTTGTTTGTTTGTTTGTTTGTTTGTTTGTTTTGTGTTGTTGAAACAGGAGGAAAGAATGGCGTCGGTCGAGATTTCGATGTTCTGTTGATAAAACGATCATACGAATATGTTTCTCGCGGATCCGTTCGCACGATTCTCCAAAACAATTACGATCTATTGTTGGCAATCCAAGGCTCGACTACGTAATTTTTGCCTCAGCGACTAGTCTAAATCTTCACAGATAAATGGTGTTCTCGATCAATTTACTTAGTGATATTATATCCGATCCTGTTCATCGGCAACGTCCGCAAGGACAGTAAATAAAACAACAGACGGCGTACTCGAATTAACGAACAGGTGGATCTCAATGGACATTTAATGGAAAGTGCGCAATCGAGACTACCTGCCGTCTTAGCCATTTTTTTTTTCTTTTCTTAATCGCGACAGCACCCAAGTCGCGCGCATTACTATTCATCTTCTTATCATTATTACAATTATAATATCTTATAATATCTTATTAATCTTATTAATCTTATTATTCTTATTATTCTTATTATTTTAATTAGACGAGCTTAAAATATCCCTCGGTCACGCGCAGTCTTATTCCACGTCGTTGGAATTGCCAAAAGAACATTTATTGCCTCGGATTGCCAATGTACGATAATAACCGAATAAAAGGACAGCCTACTTAATCAAATAATCCACTCGAATAAATACAACGCATTATCATTTACAAGATAAATCATGTACAAGAACGATCATTCACACCGCGCATCGTTACGGAATCCGCAGGAAGGTACACTTAACTATAGAGTCGATTACACACACGCTCACACGACCCAGCCCCACCTGCCCCGCCCCCATCATTCCCATCCCCTAGCGGCCGATAACGGCGCTAATCACCATAGCTTCTTCACCTTTAATATCGGGGCACAGAAAAAAAATACTTCGCTCGTAGGGCGCGGTCCCGTCGTGATAGCGACATCATCAGGAGCGTCAGTCTTCTTAGCTAATGATCGGCATCCCATCGTCGGCGCAACGATAAAGATGCACCCGCGCCAGCCCTTCGCAGAAACAACGAAACGTCGAAATAGCGCGACCGACATTTTACGCGTGATAACCGGCCATGTCGCACCGAGGCAGACTTCCGTGATGAATCTCAAGCTCCTCTTGACGCTGCTGATGCGACGAGGCCGAGAGCTGCTCCAAACGTCTGCCGGACTCCCTGTTCCGATCCCGCGATCTCTCTCTACCACCCACCGTGCCCGCTTCTCTGTCCGTCCCGTAGCGCGTTTGATAATGATGGCAGACGTTGCCGTTAATCGGTAATGTTGGGTACTGGGCTGGGTAGCGTGGCGGTGGCGGCGGTGGCGGTGACGGTGAATTCGGCGTCGAGGCGTTTTTTGGACTATTTCTTGTCGAACGATTGCCACTGCGCCGCAACGAGTGGTGATGATTATTATAATGATGATGCGTGGCGGCGGTGCCGTTAACAACGTCGCCGTTAGTGCAGGCCGAGTTCGAGCAGAGGCGCAAACTCGAGCCGGGCAGCGTCCCCGAATGGCGCATTTTGTGCGCCGTTTCCCCGTCGATGTAGGTGAAACCCTCGGCCGGGGTGGTGCCACCGTGTGGTAGGAACCAGACACCCCCGCCGTGATGATTACTGGGGCTCGCTGCCCGAAGCTCTAGCTACAGTTCCGTTACCGGTATTGGCTTAATGCCGGAGGCAATTTGATGCTGCTGCTGTTGCTGCTGCTGCTGCTGCTGCTGCTGCAGCTGTTGCTGATGAGCGGCCAACTGTTGTTGTTGCTGGTGTTGCTGCTGGTGGTGGTGGTGGTGGTGGTGCTGCTGCTGCTGCTGCTGCTGCTGCTGTTGCTGTTGCTGCTGATGATGATGATGGAGATGAAGCGGGTGCTGCGAGCCTTGATGATGATGATGCCCGTGGGCAGCCCTCACTATATACTCGTCCTCGGAGAAGGTCTTCTGGTACTCGTGCTCCTTCCGCGATATCGTCCGGTTCTTCCACTCGTAATCCTTGAAGGCGTCCCGAACGCGACGCTTGCACCGATAATAAAGAATGAAGGCGATGCCGGCGAAGAATGCGATACCAGCGGCGCAGAGTGTCGCTAGGAGCGCCTGCTTCCTCGGGTCTGAGAATGCACAGCCGAGCTCGTCGGGTCGCATGCCCTTGAGGGACTTGCCCTGGAGTTCGCGCGGCTCCGCGCATATAACCGGGCTCGAGTTCCGCGGTGCCAAGACGTCCGAGAGCCAGAGCACGCTACAGTCGCAAATGAGCGGATTCTCGCTCAAGTCGAGACGCCGGAGCTCGTTCCAGGCGACGAGGGACTCGGAGAAGCCAACGAAATTGTTGTCGCGCAGCATTAGGTGACGTAGATTCGGCAGACCGGCTAAAGCTCCGTCCTCCAATGTCGTCAGTCTCTTGTTATTATTCAGCACGAGAATCTCGAGATTGCCATTGTCGGAGAAAGCGCCGCGCTTAACGGTCGTTAATAGCGTAGCGCCCGATACTTCGAGCTTCTTGAGATTGGAGAGGCCCTTGAAGGCACCGGATCTCAAGGACGTGAAGAAGTTCTGGCCGAGCGTCAGCTCTTCCAGTCTAGGCAGAGTCGACAGCTGTCTCGTGGGTACTTCGCGCAATTTGTTAGCGTTAAGCTTGAGGCTCTTTAAAGCGTTTAGGCCGCGTAAGGCCTCGTCGCTAATGTTATCGAGACCGGCGGCCGTTACGTCCAATACCGCCAGCCTCTCCAAACCTTTGAAGGCATCGTCCGGCAGCGAGGAGAAGGCGTTAAGTCCTATGTGCAATTCGGCTAATGCGTTGAGCGGCGCAAGAGCGGCGGATGGTATACTCTGAAGCTGATTATCATCGAGGTAGAGAACTCGGAGTGATCCTAATTTTTGAAAGGCACCCGGCTCGACGCTCGATATACGATTCTGCCCGAGATCCAACTCCTCCAGCTTATCCAGAGAGGCGAATAGTCCGTTCGTCAGCGACTCGAGATAATTGTTGCGCAGATTGAGGACCGTGAGCGACCGGAGGCCATGGAAAGTCTTTTCCGTGAGGGCGGATATCTTATTATGCTTGAGATGGAGCTCGACAAGTTGCTTCTGCGCCTCGAAACTGTGATCGGGTATGGTAAAGAGATGGTTAAACGATAAATCGACGTTGCGTAGATCGCCGTAAAATTGAAAGGCTGCAGCTTCCACCACCTTTATCTGATTATCCCGCAGGACAATGCGCTGTATGCTTGGATTCAGAGCTATGGGTATGACGTCGAGCTTGGCGTTGATGCACGATACAACGAGGGTCTCGTCGTCGCAGATGCAGCCATTTGGACAGAAAGCTGCCTCGCCCGCGGCAACGCTGGTGGCCAGCACGACTACCAAAAAGAATATCATGGCCAGCGTAACTCTTTTCTCAGTCTGCAACAAAATGGAAAACATTTTTTTTTTTTTATTATCACTCTAGACTTGTCTACGATAAGTCACATTAAATTAAAAATAATTCACTGCACGGTGTAGATGAGTGAGAATGAGAGGGAGAGTGTGAGTGGGGGGAGGGGGGGGGAAGGAGGGGCATTTGCCATTCATCTAAAATGCATTTAATGCCTACTACGGGACGCTCGACAAGGCAAAGCAATACGCACCAATGAACAAAGCGTAACAAACAGTGAAGTTTGTGATGTTATTCTTTGGTCGTTATTTCGTCTAATAGGCTTATGAAAAAATGAGTAAAAACTTTTCTGCTTCACGGTGATGCGTTTAATATGGAAAAGTTCTTGTCTCTTTATTTTTAATTTTTGTCTTCTTTCCCTTTTTGCCTTTTCTTTTTTAATTTTTTTTTTTTTTTTTTTTTTTTTTTTTTGACGAATTAATCTATTATGTTATATATCGTTATAATTTAATAAATCAATCGTTGACGGATTATAATTATATATATATATATATATATATATATATATATATATATATCATCATTATTTCTTTTCTCTTTACTTTACTACTCAAAAGAGACGAAATCAACCATAAGATACAACATTTAAAAAATATAACGAATTATTTGTACGTCTCTAGTATCTTCGCTTTGAGTTTCCAATATTATGCATAGACAGTTTTCTTCGATTCGTCTTGTTCTGAGAATCGGTAAATGATCGACTCGATATGATAATGAGAGACTTAATATAAAATGTAATTTAACATTTCTTTAAATATTGTTCGCACTTATTTCCAATTCAAAGGACTCTTTAAATGGAAATTTACAGGGAGCTTAAGTGCCAAATGAATGCCAGCATAATTAAAGTAGCTACATCTTATCGTAGTTTTAAATAAATCATTAGACTCGCAGTATATTTAAAAAAAATTACTAAGCATAAAAGCTCTAATAAAAACATCAAAGATCCAATTTTATAAGTCTTAAAGTCATTCTTCGCGCCTCTCTAGTTTCTTCTAAAGCTATTAAGCACACGTGCACGATGCAGCAACAGCTACAACGAACACAGTCACTACTGACCCCCCTCCCCCGTCGCCATCCCCATCCCTTCCCGTCATCCCCTCGACCACCACCCCTGCGCCATCACTCTCGTTTCATTAAAACAAAAGGTAGAAGGAAAGGAGGTAAAAGAATAATAGGGTTGAGTTTTTTTCACAGCGAATGAAATCCTTTGCCAACGGCAATAGCATCAGCGGTAGCGCAAACTCACCTTCTTATCTTTGATTCACAAATACTACTACTGCTACTATTACTACTACTGATGCTGCTGCTGCTGCTGTTTCTAACACCCTTTCTACCACCGCTGCTTCTGATGCTGATGCGAGATGAAAGTGCAGACCGCTGCTTTTTCCCAGGATTATCCTCGTTCCCTCACTTTTATAAGGCATTTCCGTAAAGCAGTGACGAATCATTATACGTTACGCGTCAGCGTGTATTAGCCGCCTCAAAATGTGCGCGAACGTCATTACAGGGAGATTATACGTGCCGTTAGCGATGGTATGCCGAACTTTGTCCGACCTCATTTCTCACTTTCATTGCTACTTCACCCGTGCTATATCCACCGTAATGACACATACGGATGTAGGTGACATCGGCGCATCCAGTTGATTCAGCAGCTATAATTTATTACGCGGAGCTCCAACTTCAGCGCAAACGCGAAAAGAAATGCGGCCAAAACTGAGACTGGATGCCATCGGGGCCGCTCAAACGAGATTATGTCATTGAATTTATAATACGCAGGCGTACGTACACACGAGTCGAGGTGAACAATGAACATTATTGTTAAAAAACAATGTATAATCGTCGTCTGATCCACATTGATCTTCTCGATTCATTCGCATCCGCGAGCTTCTCGACACTTGTTCAATTAAAAACTCTTGGTTTTTTCTTTTGTTTCTCTGTTTTTATTTATTTATTTATTCTTTTTTTTTTATTTTATGGTATGCTGAATTTTATGAATGGTTTTGCGTTAGAGAGATTCGATAAGTATATGTGCAAAGACAGACTTATTGCTGTTTTATCTTTATTTTGTAATTTCAAGGGAGGGTCGGAAGCAAGAAAAAAAACCGTGGGTTTAGAAAGAGAGAAAAAGTTGGAGAATAGAAGGAGATGGAAGAATTATCAATGCTATCGCTTATTCTTAAGCGAAACGAAAATTGGAAAATTAAAACCTTAAATCTGAATTTATACCGAACCATTTACTCTTATCGACTTACACTTTATTTCTACCAAGTAAAACATTGCACATCTGCTTATTCAAGCATGCATTTTATAAAATGAAATAGCTTTTTGCTTTAAATAATGCAATGCCCGATGAAGATATTTCCAGATAATAATAATAATAATAATAATAATAATAATAATAACAATAAGAACAATAATAACAATAATAACAATAATAACAATAATAACAATAATAATAATAATAATAATAATAATAATAATAATAATAATAATAATAAGACACATTGTTGCGTGTGTGCGATAAAAAGCATATTTTATTATAATGGAGATATTGATCCTGTCATAGTAATTAATTTTTGTTATCGATCGTTTTGCCGTTGGCAACACATATTTATATATCATTGATTAACCTTAAAGTATTCATAATCAGGAACTCGTTGGCAGGTTGATAGGAAAAATTGGATTATTCGATATGGAGTACTAAATTTCCGATATCGCTGAATTCAGTAGCAATTTTAAGTAAGCGCTTGCGCATACACAGACAAGGGCAAAATCCGGCAATTTCTCTCTTGAATTCTCGACTAATCGCTCCCCAAGTTTAGATTACACGCAATCACACGTTGAAATTTAACTACCTTTTTAGCCATTCCTATTGTAATTTCTCCAGTAACATGTAAATTTACGAACTCATTGCTTCTAATTTGTCAAATTTATTAAATGCTTAATTGATTATTACGCGAGAATATTGTATGCGATCGCATATGATATTTAATTCCTTTACTGTAGAATTAATAAAAGTAGTCTGTATTGAAGTCCTTAAATTTTATGTAATATGTTAGTAATATGTTGATTGAAAAGTGACGTTTTATTTTATCTAAATTAAAAATTATTTCATCCAATCAACAACGTTAAATTGAAACAAAGTTTTCAAGTAAAATAATTTATATTTCATGAATTATGATGATAATAACGAATCTTCCAATAGTATTACTACTATCATTTAACATTATACGTAATGTAGATAAAAATCTGGGAAACTTTTCGTCTTCTTATTAGTAAGCGAAAGATAAACAAAGCCGTAGAAAATCTTGTACATTTTATCTTTTAATTACATCGATTTCTTTGATCAATTTTTAATCCAGCAATTCCAAATATATATTACACGCGCGCATTTTCACAAGAAAAAATTTCTTACATTTTCATTTTCCAGCTACCGGAGCATGCATATAATTAATTATAACATAAAGTAATTAGGCAATAACTATTTACTAAATCCTAGCAATCCTGAGTTAATTATTAAGTAAATATTGCTTATGAATTGTGAATGATGTATAAAAATTGTAGAAAAATATTTTACGAAATAACGATAATCGAGAATAATTTTCATTTACATTGACATACGAGCCATTTCATTTGTAAGAATACAATTATGTGCGATAAAATTGAAGTAATAGAACAAATAGCCTACGAAGCTTCCGCCGTCTCGCGTGTTCATAAAAACGAACTGTTTAATTTCAATATAAATACAATGCATGTTCTCTTCGTCTTTTCGCCTCGAATAATGGCAAAAAGGTCACAGGAAGGGGACAAACGTCGTAAAAGTCTCGATTTATTCGTTCGTTCCATCTGACGTCGCGACGAGCCAAAGATAATGAAAAAAACAGAGGAGGACGGACAGATACACGGGTAGGAAGAAAAACGATCTTTCTGTAATACAAGGATTGTTTCGAAATGCGCTGAAACAGAGATACAGCGCGTGTAGGACGTGAGCGATGACGCTTATATGTGAGAGAGTAAAGTCGAATTGAGCTTTTTTTTTCCTCTTGCCGCAATGTCCCGAGGGAACATCGAATTCGACAAAAGAAGAGACGGAAAAAGCTGCCCTCCGCGGAATTACCCACACCTTTCTCATCCTTTATTTCGTTCCTGGCCCGTCCCTGTCTCTTTTACTCGTTTGCTCTCTTCTTCTACGAGTATGTATGTGTGACAGTAGTGCGAAGAGTCCAGGAAAGAGGGGAAAAAAGATGGAGGTGACGGTGATCGATGGCATGGCTAATCTTCCTCTCGAGGAGAGTCGCGGCTTGTCTTTCTAACACTATCCTTTCCTACAAATATATGTACACACACACAAAATACGTATTTGAGTTCAAAGCCGAAAGAATATTTATTAATCGAATGACAATTGTGACGAAGGTCCGAGCATCTAAAATTAAATCCCCTGCAGTGTCACGTCGTCTCGGATTTACCGAGCATTATATGGGATACTTAGAAAAAAAAAAAAAAAAAAAAAAAAAAAAAAAAAAAAAAAAAAAAAAAACATAACAAACCAAAAAAAAACTAAAATCCCATGGGTGGCAATTTCGGCACTGATAATTTAATTTAAGAGACGGTTATTTCAAAAGTTAAAATCACTTTAAATAAATAACTAACCGTATTTAATCGCTTTTCCAATGATAATTTTAAACTTGAAAAGTAACATGAAATGAAAGTTTTGTTCTATAAAGTTTTAGGTTAATATACGCCAGCACATCTATTGGATTGAATTTTGAGTAAAATATAAAATAAAACTTAAAAACTGATTATCCTTCAACGTATAAGCCTAATTTTTAAAGCTTTCCCGAGCACGCGAATATACTTCAGCGTTAAAAATTACTGAATCGGAATTCAAACGTAAGCTTTATCTTTTGAATAGCAGTGACTTCGATATTTTCATTCATGAATATTCAATCTTTTATCCCATTTCGTTAAA